CGAAGCCTCTTGGATGAGGGGCGAAACGTTTCTTTTTAACAAAAAAACGAAGTCCAGATGACATGATTCAACCTTTTTTGTTGTCACTCTGCAGACAGTGCTGTTACTTTGATGTAATTAATTAGGGACACACGATATTATCGGCATGGTATCAGTATCGGCAGATATTAGTGATAAAAATAAATATCGGACATCAGCCTTTCCATCAAAACAACTCACTGATATATAAGGCTTCTGTTTTAAGTTGATTTTTAATTTAAGAAACTGTCAAGTATATCTATTAATGCACTACTACTTAAGAACAGGTTGAGTTTAGATTTGTGAAAATTTACAAATTTGCTCTGCTCGAGTGTTGTCATTGTGTTAGAGAGAGTAAATGTCATGAATAAATTTGACATTAAACATAATCCAAGTTGAAGTGTTACATCATTTTCAGCCCCCTTTTTGGCATCTGCATTTGGTAGCAGATCAAACTGACAAAGACCATGCAGAATTTATTGTATTTTAATTCCAAAACAGAGAAAGCTATGTATGTAGGTCTAGGAAAAAATATATTGGTATCGGTTATCGGCCAAATAAGTCTTAAAATATTGGCATATTGGATATCGGCCAAAAATCCAATATCGTGCATCCCTATAATTAACCCATTTAAAGTTATAGAAAATGTCCATATAAAAAGATGTATTTTTATATTTGGAATAAGCTTGTGTGAAGGAGTGACCTATGTTTGCTGTAAAGATGGAACACATCCTTTAAACACCAGAAAATAAGGAACATTTCCCGCCTCGTCTTACGGCTGTTGATGTGCTTTTAATCTTGCATGTTTTCTGCTGTGTAACATTTACTTTTCCCTCCTTCTTCTTTCAATCAACCACAGGAGAAAGAGTTCAGGGCTTCCTTTTGGCCACGCTGCAGGGCTGCTCAGCTAAAAGGAGTCCAGAGCTGCCTTTTCCCCTCGGGCTGCTTAGAGCTGAGTTAGCAGAGCTGGGGACGGCCTTCGGGCAAATTGTCCGCTTCAACCAAACTGTCTTCGGTCCCTTCTATGCACCCATCCTCAGGAAGCTGCTGCTCCCGCCTGAACAGACTGAACCTGCAGAGGACTCGCGCCAAACTGAGGTTGACCTGAACACAGGCCAACGTTTGATATAAAACATGTCATTTTAGAGTGTAAACATGCTGAAGTGGAATGATTTGAGGGAAACCTTTAAGGTCAGATGTGAGATGTAAACATAAAACAATGCAGCTGGATTTATATTTCTTCTTTCTTTTGTTTAATTGACATTTACAGTTTCCAAAACTAGAGTATTTTCTTTGATGCAAGGACTTAAAGTTCAAGTAAATGCATAAGGCAGTTAAACAACACGCCTGTGTACACCAAACATGAAGTAATACTGGGTAGAAGAAAGAAACAGTCTCATGTATTCATGAGGAAAAGACTTAACTTGTTTCCAATTCTGACTGAACTGGGAGGTAAGACTTGAAAATGTCATAAACCCGTGTCTGTAACTGGATCAGACCTGTTTTTAGCAGGCTGGTAGGATATTTGGTTTTCCCAATTGTCTGTTCAGGAAAATTATTTTGAAAATTGTCCCATTATATTGTACATTTTTTTACAAACTGATGAATCTGCCCTTCTTTACTTCTGCCCAGACCTGTTAAACCAATTAGCTGTAAAAACTGTTTCTTATTCATGCATTATTTTTACAGCCTTTTGTTAATCCCTTCTTCAGCATCTTCAAATGTCACATTTATTTTTTAATGGTACCATTTCTGAATCATCCGTTATGTTTACTATGTTCCAATGTGAACAAAATGTGGGTTTATGAGATTTACAAATCATTGGGTTTTGTTTTCATTTACATTTTAACAAATCAGGGTTGTAGAAAACAAGTACCAAAGAAATAATGCTAAGAATTTGTACATATTTTTTAATATTAAGCTTTACTAAGTAGCTGGGTGTCTAAGAGATGTTTATGCATCATGACTTACCAAAGACGTTGTGCACTTTTATTCATTTCTTTTTCATTTTTCTTTATATGCGTCTTTAATCATAAACCAAAAATATAGTTTCCTCCTGTCGGTGATATTAGCGGGGAGAGCTAAACAGTGCTATATTTGTAAACAAATCTCAAAAAGAATCATTGTCATATTTCATACAGCCAATAAAACAACACATGTTACAGAGCAAACAAATGAAAATACACATGTTAAAGTGAAAAACTTGGACTCAAACAACGAGAGGATTTACTTTAAATGAGCCGTGTGAAATGTCATTTAGACGGTTTTTATTTAAATGTGTTGTTTTATTTTTGGGATTTTCTTCCTGTTTTTATTAAAATAGCTACAAAGCTTCCGATACACATTATTTTTTACAGAAATGTATTTAGGGCAAAAAACCCAAACATTTTTCATGATATATATATATATATATATATATATATATATATATATATATATATATAAATTTTTTTTCTTTTTTTTTTAATGGATGAGAGTTATGTAGAAGGTGAGCAAGATATGTTTTTATATAGAAAAGAGATTATATTTTATATTATCCATCACAGTGAATCAGAGGCATTAAAGTTTTATAATTAAGTTTCTGAATTCCAGACATTTTTACTTCATTTTAAATTTAAGTGAGCTTTAATGATTTTGCAAAAAAAAAAAATTCCCGTACGTTTTTTGAATTCATTTCAATTCATTTTATTTATACAGCCCCAAATCACAACAAAGTTGTCTCAGAGCACTTTACAGGAACATTAACATACATATAAAGCCAATTAATAAAAGTTCTCTATCTAAGGAAGCTAGCAGACTGGTTGAATCTTCACTTCGTTGCAGTCTCCCATCCTGAGCAAGCACAATGGCAACAGTGGAAAGGAAAATCTTCCTTTTAACAGGAAGAAACCTCCAGCAGAACCAGGCTCAGGACAAGCCTTTTGGTTTAAAATGTTTAGTTTTGGTTGGTATTCTTAGTATCTGTCTTGTATTTTTTATTTTTATTGAGTGATTTGTGATAACTGGGGAAAAGTTCAAACCTAGACAAATGGTTTGAAAGCAGCTGGCTCAGTCGTAAATAGAAATAAGTGTCAAGCCACACATGCTAATAACGTTAATAAGTTTGACGAAAGTTTAAATTTTCTTTAGTTTTAAAGGTAGACTCAATGGATCATTTATTTATTTTTAACCTAATTTATGTTTGCGTTTCTTTCAGTTGTAGTTTAAATCATTTTTTTTGTTGTTGTAATTTTAATAACTCCAAGTTTAACTTTTTGATTGGAAATAACTCTATTACAAGAAGAAAAAAAATGTCAAAAGGTCTATAACCTGTAACCTTAACGTTAGAGTTCAAGAATGAGCTTAAACATTTCATCATCAAACCACTCACCAGTGGACAACTTGAGCTAAATTAAGTCATTTGTACACCAGGCATTTAAGATTAAAATTTCTTATTTAAATGGGCTAACATGCAGAAAATGTTGGCAATGCTCCTTTAACATTGTAAAGACTACTAAGCAGCACAGTTGAGTTTACAGGCAGAGCTGCAGCAGGGGAATTGTTCAAAAACCCTGAAACATATGTACATATACGTATATCTACATACATATATACACACGTATATATAAATACATACATCCATATATATATGTATATATATATATATATATATATATACATACATATATATATATATACATACATATATATATACATATATATGTATGTATGTATGTATATACAAATGTGTGTGTGCATATATATACATACATATATACTGTATATGTATATGTACATACATGAGAGAAATTAGATAAACTGATTTTTTAAAACAGGTTTCATCCATTACATCCCAAGTTTTTGTTTAAAGTACTCCAAAATACCGTACATACTTTTTAAATAGCTTTTAGGACAGCACAAGAAAAAACACTCATATTGTGATAAAAATATGAAAAAAAATGTAAATTATTCACTTAAGTCTTTTCCTGGTACTTTCTTTGGAATAGTTCATAAATGAGCAGATTAATTTTTTTTACTCTTCTTTTGTTTTTGAGTGTTCTGTGAGTACAAAGCAGAGTGACACAACAATACTGACATGCGTTTTCCAGAGATCAGCAAGCACTCGGCTCTGCAACTTGAAAGTAATAAAGTACAGGAAAAAGAATCAAACTGGGCTAATTGTTTGTTTAGACGATGTGGCACCCACTAATCTCTGCAGCGGGGGAAACCATGAAAGCACAATTGTACAATAATTACCATCTTGTAATGTCACTTTTGATTTCTAACAGCTGCTGTAATGCGCCTGCTTTTGACAGAGTAAAAACAAAAATCAATGCTAACAACAGACTTGAGAGGAATTGTTTAGTTTTTGTAATATTTAATGTCATTAATATAATATTGCTTTGAAATTTGAAACAGTTTCACATTTTTTCCACGACAAACCACACTCTGTCCATCAACATGGGCAAAGCATCGTATGCTGGTACAATTTCTTCTCTTCTTCCCCTCTACATTTTATTACCCTTTAACAATTCCCACTGTTACTGTCCTCAGTAGAGCTGGATCAATAGAAATGCTCATTAATGGACTGTTTTATTAACGTCTACAGTGCTCTACACATTACAGTTCCAACATGACAAGATCAGTAAGTCACACGAAGGCCAGGAAATAGACTTGGCCTTTCTGACTGACCTTTTCTGGAGACAGGAGTGATAAACAGGTCCTGTTTAGTCAGTGACGTGGCACCACAAGTTACCTTTCGGCTGTGAGTGTGGATTCATCACAGGAGCAGTGGAGGACACACGGAGTGAGATCTAAATGTCAGCGTGGCGCTGGCTGGTCCCTGCACGTTGCTCAAGCTTACAGTTTCACTCTTGATTTTTATTGTTTTTCTTTGTCTTCTACTTTGCATACTAGCTAAAAACAAGCAAACACTTGCATCGGCTGCTCCCCATCAAACTCACAGCTTGGTATCCGGAAACTTGAACGCCGGGGCGAGCTACACAAGGAAAACACGAATGTTAAAAAAAAAAAGAAGACCGGTACATGCACAGCCATCACATGCCACCCAAAAAAACCTTGCTTTTAAATAGCTGCTGTTCATTAAAGTGTAATGCTCTTTGTATTATGCATCCATACTAGAGCAGGTCGTCCTGGTGACACACAAAATGGAGGAACGTGTGTGACGACATGTGCGTACGATGGTGAAATGGAGGGATGGGGATGAATCGTGGAATTAGCGTGTAAACAAAGAGGAAACACAAAAAAGGGGCAGATGGGTGAGAGGAGAAGAGACGCTGCAACCGTACATACAGAGGCTGCTCAGGCCAAACGCATCAGAGGGGACATAACACAAAGAAACACTGCCAACATGCATTATCGAGTGGAAGCCAACAGATAAAAGTCAGAACGGAGTGGCAGCGACACAGAGCAGCAACATCAAAACAGTCTCCACACACAGCGGAGCTCAGACCCTCACACTCCTCCTGCAGCACACACAGACAAGGACAGAGGCCAGGACAGCCCCAACTTCCACCAGGACGAACAGAAACGACGCATACAGCACACGCACGGCAGCTGGTGCACGAGAGGGAGAACCCTGTCGACTCCACAACAAGCATCTCTATCACAGTTCAGGAGGAAAACACTTTATAAAAATTAAAAACAAAGAAAGTATCTGTTCACAATAATGACACAAGAACAATGTTTAAGTTTGGCTTGTTCACTGAGAAGGATTAAATGTTTGTATTTTGCAGTGTCGTGGACCTAAGTCTAAACTGGTGTGGAACAGACACCCATGTAATCATGCTACGCAGGGAAATGTGCACCAAACTGCGCCAGGGCTCCTTAATACAGTTCAACAAAATCATGTTGAAGTGTAGATTACAAAAGTAAGTAAAACATAAAACTAATGTGTCTTATTTTTTGTTCTTTTTTTTTTTTTATGTCGTTTTTCTTCTGGTTTAAAGTTGGGATTAGCATGATAATCTTTGAATCCTCCTGTCCCAATGTGTTTCAGTTTGCCCCTTTCTATCAAAAAGTATCAGAAAAAAGCTAAAATATTCCACTTGCACTGTAGGAAAACAAGGTTTTAAAAGGGATAGTGCTGTTCTTTTTTAACACAGTGATATCTTTGTTTGTTTTTAATGGACAAAAAGAAGATTTGCAGGCTCTTGGTGCTACCGTTAATGCTGACAGGCACTGGGCAGTACAAGGCCAGAGCAACCAATCAAACCACTTCAGCCACAGTCAGTTTAATCCATACACAAAAAAAAAAAAATCTTTTTTTTAAGGTTTCCTTTCAGTCTTTTAGAAACAGGTTGGAGGCGTGCAGTTGGTGGAGTTCGTTAGGGTCGAGCGGGATTTTAGTGGATCATAGATAATCGCAATATCGTAAGGCTGTCGTCCTCGATAGGAAAGTCGTCCTCAAGTGAGGCTTCAGTTCTCGTTCTGCTTTGAGTTTGGACATCAGTGATAGAACTGTGAACGATTCCAATGCTTTTTAACTATAAGTACTGTACAAATTGGATTTTTTTAAAAACTTGTTTTGCTGCATGTTGCTGTTTTTGTCTCTCATTGACTTAAAGTCCATCTTGCATCCCTTGCCAGCAAAGCAGCCTCCTCATAGTGCCTCACAGTGGTAGATGCCTGGTAAGGCAGGATAAGCTACAAATGGAGAAAGAAAAAAAAATATCATAACTGCCTTCAAACAAAACAAATAAAACGTGTTAAATAATAAAAATATGACCACACAAATCACAGATTTACAGATCTTAAATTTGTCTGATATCAAACGGACCCTTTAAAGGAAAAAGTTGACATTTCAGGAAATAGACGTGTCCACCTTCTTGCAGAGATTAACGCAGCACGTGTGCAGGAATAATGAAAATATCGCCAACAACTTTTAAACTTTTCAGCACAAGATGTGGTTACATCACAGCTTCCTGACTGTTATGTTACTATTTTTCTTTTATTTATTTACAGAAGCATTAAAAAAAAAGTTTCCGCTTTTTCAAAAATTTGCACATAAATACATAAGAATAAAATTGTGTTTTATTAATGCAGTCAGTCAGTTGTTACCATTTGCAGAAATACAAACTGTATTTACTTGCATGTTAAACTAGAAGACTTTTTTGCAGAATGCAAAAAAAATCACCAGATTTAGCTTCTTTGATTTGTGTCTGGTTTCATTTTGCTAACAGCTCCATGTACCTATTTCTAAAGCTCAGCGTACTTGCCGCCGTACACGTCACATCACCGTACAAGTCGCATCAGTCCAAATATGTCTAATAAAGTGGAAAAAAAAACATGAATACATTGCTTTGTCGTACAAGTCGCATCTATTATGTGTCACTGCTGACGTGTCACGTTTGTTACGCCTCACCGCTGACAACCTGGAAACATGGGCCAGTGTTGTGCCAAAAATCAATTGGCTGCCAAATGGTGGCCGCAGGAGTGTGCACAGGAGGACTTTAGCAAAAATTTAACAAGATTAACACTTAAAAATAATTCTTTGTTTGCTCAAAATTATAGTAAAGGTGTGTCTCACTTTAACTTTTGCTTAATAAATGCACTTTGACGGTAAAATCAGCTGCATTTCAAAAATCGATTCACGGCTGAGGAAGCACGCAGAGGGATGATTCGCTGTGCATTTCTTCGAAATTTAACAACCTAAAAACAATTATTTGTTTGCTCGATATTATAGTAAAGGTGTGTCTCAGTTGAACTTTTCCTTAATAAATGCACTTTAATGGTCAAATCAGATGCATGTCACCTGGGCGGAGCGGCGAAATGCAGCTGATTTGACGTTTGCTCAAGGAGTTCCGGAGCGAGAAGAAAGTGACTTAAATGGCAAGCCAAGTGTCTCATTATTAGCCACTTTTCCCTATTAATGAGAGACTTGGCTTGCCACATTACTCGAGGGCCCTCTAGTGGCTGAAGATGGTAGTGTTCAATATTTTCCATATCTGAATGAATGAAATTATCAGATCTCAGCCAAAAATTGGATTATAAATATGGGAATAAAACGTATATTAGTCACAGGACTTGCAAATTTGTGCAAAAAGGTGTGATTTATACACCGGCAAATACGGTACTTAAATGTACTTAAAGCCATCACTATTAAATTCAGCGTCCATTAGCACTCAACTTATCAGAGTGGGACATTTAGTTAACAGCTTGTTTTTTTTACATTGTTTATTAGCTTGTAACTGTCCATAACTGTTAATCATCAATTCAACCTGCATGAAAAAAAAAAAGATGCACAACCCTTATTGTACTTGGATATGTAAGACCCTCAGATTTGTAATGCCTTTATAAAACTGTAAAAACACACCTCAACTGACAAACTCTGAACTAACAAAAATCTAAATCTGACATTTTCATTCAAATTATGGAACAATGAGTTTGTTTTTCCATTTTAATTTAAGGTGATAGTTGAATTTTAGATATCATCGTATTGGTCTTACATAATATATAAATATTCTGAGTTAATTCTCTGCAAGAAAATAAACAAGCATTGTTCCCAAAATGTCAAACTGTTCATTTAAAATATAAACTTGCTGAGTAATTTAGCATTAAACTAATATCTCTAACGTATTTTAAATACTTTAAAGAGATAGTTTAGTTTGTCTCTATTTTAAAAGGGATGTTTTGTGTTATTAGTTATCAATAATTAGTAACTTTGCAGCTGTGACATCAGTCATAAAAAATGGAGCAAAGGGCAGAGGTCTTCATCCAGGCTAGGCTAATGGCTAATGAAACGAGCCATTGTTAATTGCTTTCAGGCCTATAAAGCAACCCTTTCCGAGAAATGACAAACTGCTGTGAAAGGACGCTGGACTACACTTTTGCATGATGTTTGTATCTGTTTCGTCACTGTTTTCTCGACCAAACATTTGCGTTACTATGCTAACGCACTGTATTCTGTGCTGAACGTAATCCGTGTTTAATCCGGTGATGCTGAGTCGCTTGACCAGCACATCTCGTCAGCGCAAAAACTTTACTCAACTTCCAGCAGAGTGATCGTCCAGCAGCCTCAAAACCAACAGCCGAAGCTCATATAGCTATACTGTAAATACAATGTTCAGTTGAAAACACAGCTACAATGTCATGCAAAAATTTAGAGGTTCGTTATTAGCTAATTAGCTTTTTTAACATCAGTATACAGTAGTCCCTAGTTTATCACGGGAGATCCATACCCTGAAGCTCCATGATAAGTGAAAAACTACAAAGTAGGAATAGTAGTACAAGTAACAAGTAGAAGTTTATTTTAGTATATACATATATATATATATATATATATATATATATATATATATATATATATATATATATATTAAAACCCCTCCCACACTCTCGCAATATTCTGAACAATGTTTCTAAACTCTGAATCAGGGCTATTCAACAAAACTGCTCAGTGGGCCACAGTTTCTGAAAGCCAACAGCTCGGGGGCCGACCATCCAGCGATTAAAGTGATTATGTAAATAAACCAAGTTTTACAATGATCTGTTATGTTTTAAATTAGTTTATTTTATTGCATTGAATCATAAATGCAATAACCAGAACCCAAAACCTTGAACCAAAAATAACATATTTTGATTATTTATATTTTCTAATGAAGTGGGCCGCATCAATGACCCGCGGGCCACCAGTTGAATAGCCCTGCTCTAAACACTCTAAAAGAGCACAGCATGTAATGACCTCAGCTCTCTCTGCCTCCGGCTGCTCTCTGCCACCTGCCAGTGCTCTCTGCCTCGCCCACTTCTCCGCTACGGATATGACACGCTGCAGGAGGGAGCTTCTCCTGCAGCTGTGGGCTGCACACAGGTGCAGGAGGTGCTAAATAATTTAAAATAATTTATTTTAAATAAAAATTTTGTGCCGATCATGCGGCTCGTCCATAAATCAGCCAGTTGTGTGTCATGTCCAATCTTACTTTGAAAAACCGCGATAGAGCGAGTCCGCAAAAAACGAATGGTGAAGTAGCGAGGGACTGAAGTAGCGAGGGACTACTGTATGTTGTTTCTGAGAATGACATGCTTCTTAGTCCTGTAAAGGATAAACAAGGGGCTATTGTTTGACTAGTCACTGATCTATCTCACCATTTTCACCTTTTCTTTGTGCTCTATGACTGATGTCAAAGCTAATAAGGTACTATTGATAACAATTTGACAGAATATCGCTTCAAAACTGACTAGACTATCCCTTTAACTTGCTTTCAGGTCAAGCCTGTCTATATACAGAACAAAATAAAATTATACTTGTTTTTCCTGTGGAGAAAAAAAAGAGTATAGAAAGAGAAAGAATAATGATAATAATAGTAAAAAGATGCAACCTCTGGGAGATATCGGGGATTTGGAGGCAGATGCAAGTTGTCAGGAAGAGGAGGATGAGGAGGAAGAGGCAGTTTGGTTGAGAAAGCAGGGCCACTGTAAAATGAGATCAGTCCAGGATCATCCGTTCCATTGGCTGTGGCAGCAACAGGCAAGGGAGGCTGCCAGGGATGCTGGGGAGGCTCAGGAGGACCCCAGGAGTGTTCGTCATGACATGTAGGAGGTTGGTGTGGGTCTCTGAGCAGGGCAAAGGAAGGTGCAGGAGTAGGCAGCCCTGAGGGATGCTATACCATCACAGTGAGAAGGCACGGGGCGCACGTGTGTAAATGTGTGTGTGTGTGTGCGTGTGTGTCTCAGTGAGAGAAAGAGTTGAACAGAGAACCGGATGCAAAGGGTAGAAGAAAAGTTTCAGGGGGTGCAGTTGGGAGTCGGGGGGGTTGGGGGTGCGTCTGTAGGGATCCGGCCTCAGAATATGGTGGTCTCGTACTTGGTGCTGACGGGACGCCTGTTGGAGTCCCGCTGGTCACAGAGCCAGGTGGTGCTGCCCAGGGACTGCATGTCTGCATCCATCTCCAGGGGGTCGATCTGCCGGAGGGGAGGGGGGGAGGGGAGGAGGGACGAGAGGAGGGTGTGAGACGAGCAGCAGTGGAGGCCATTGCGCCACACTGACAAGTCCTCAGGTCACACACGTGGATTAGACGTACAGTCCGGTGATCGGGTCACAATACATTTTACAATCACAATACAATCTTATACATTTTATTGTTGGATGTAACTGGGACCCTGTGTACATAATTTCGCTCCACCACATGTACCACATGAGGTGCGAATGACAATAAAGAAACTCTGACTCTGACTCTGACAATCACAGACTCAGTCCACAACAATGGATGAAGTCCGACAGAAAGAACTCTCAGCTTCTGGAAGCAACAACAAATAACCACAAATACAACCCTCTGAGGCAAAGAAGATGCTGGTTATTACTTCCAAGACAACAATAACTCTTGACAAGTCAGACATAGCAGATAGTTTACCTCGTGCTAACAAATTTAGTTAAAAATCATTATCATAAGCATTTATCATTAGAAATTTTTCCTGCTGACACTGAAACCAAACACACAAAGACATTTACAACCAGCCAACGGAAACAACCATCACATTACTGGTGCAATGGATGAAACCCTCTGTAGCCATTTAGCCGAGAGTTTTATAGAGACTGTGCATCACATCAAGAAAAACCCTCTGTTCCGTAAACAATTTGTTGAGCCACAACACTTCAACCATGTGCATTTAAAAACCACAAACATGTTAGATGAAGATGAGAGATGAGAAAGTAAAGGGATGAAGAGGTTTTATGGTGAAAAACATTCAAAACCGCAAAGAGAGAGAGAAGGGGATAAAAAGTGTCAAAGTGCACAGCAGCATCCCAAAAAACATAAAAAAATAAGGGAGGGTTTGGCATGTATGTGAATGTTTGATGGTCTGAGGACTGAATAAAGGAAAGGAAAGAGAAGGACCTGGATTCCAGGGCTAACAGAGTGCAACGGGAGGAAGGAAGGACGGTGGGTAGTACACGTGTGACAGTGACAGCAGCGGCATTCGAGCAGAGGGGCACCCTGGGAAGCAGGAGGACCAAGAAGACAAGAACAAAGACATGTTAAAAAAGAAGAGATAAGAGGAGGGACAGAGTATTCAACTGTCCTAAAAGGACTGTGAAGAAATCCAGTAGCAGCATGAGGAGCAGACTAAAACCTTTTTTTTCTTTTAGCTAAAAACTATTTGGTTAAAGTCATTTGATTCTAGTGACAGTCCAATCATCAGATGAGATCTATGGGGCTGTGGATTTCTACACATGCGGAGGTGGTGTGCACGTGGCAGTAGTAAGGGTGGAGTGTAAAACTGATTAAACATTGTGATCATTTGTTACGTCTGAAGCAGCAGCTCTTTCAAACATGGACGGATTATGAAACGAGCTAAGATGTGGGAAATTCTTCACTCATCCGACAGAGGACAACCAGAGACATTAAACAACCCCAGACAGTTATCTGCCTTGCTTATGGTTGTTGTTTCCAACTATATGTTGTATAAAGTAGTTTGCAGCACAGTTTACTTTTGATATTTTTTGTCATTCCACTTTGATATTTCTACATCATTTTTACAACCTTCATTCCAAAAACAGGACCTTGTGTAAAATGAAAACAAAAACTGAATTTAATGATTATCAAACCCCTAAACACATATTTTATTGTAAATACATTAAACTAAGATAATTGTATCATTTTGGAAAAAAAGAGGGTAAATATATTTTTTGCAGTGACATATCTCAAAAAAGTGAGGACTTGGGCAACAAACAGCTGTAAAAGTAAGTATAAATTAACAAAACAGCTGGAGGAGCATGTTGCAACTAATTAGGTTAAATAGCAACAGGTCATTAATAAATCAAAATGTGAAATTCTTTTTTTAAAACCAAAGACACCACAACATCCCTATAAAGGAGAAGAATGCCCCTCCAACGTGTTTTCAGTGCACAGTTAAAGCCATGCCTCTCTGATGGTGTGGGGGTGCATTAGTGTCTGTGGCATGGGCAGCTAACACATTTGGAAAAACTTCATCAATGCAGAAAAGCTTATACAAGTTTTAAAACAACATACACTCCCATACAGACCACGCCTTTTTCAGGGAAGGTCTTGACTATTTCAGCAACACAATGCTGAACATACTGCATCCATTACCGTCACATAGCTCTGCTAAACTGACCTGCCTACAGGCCAGACCTCAATGTTTGACGCATCATTCAATTCAGTTTAGCTTATTTATATAGCGCCAAGTCACAACAGAAGTCATCTCAGGGCACTGAACAGAAACATTCATATTTAAAAATAAGTCAATAAAAGGAAAGGAAAAATGCTCTCATGAGGAAGAAATCTCCAGCTGAACCAGCTCAGGACAAGCGGCCATCTGCTTCAACTGGTTGGGTTTGAGCGGAATAGATACACAATGGCAGGTCCAGAATCACATGTTAAGATAGAAATATTATCAAATGAAAATTATTCTATTTTAACAATTCATTTTAAGAAATGCGATAAATTTGTCCTTTAATAGTCTAAACCTATGGTAGCATAACAAGCCAACTCTAACTAAAGGATTTATCAAAAAGGAACGTCTTAAGTCCAGTCTTAAAACTGAACAATGTGTCAGCTTCACAGACAGAAACTGGAAGTTGATTCCACAAGAGAGGAGCCTGATAACTGAAAGATCTTCCTCCCATTCTGCTTTTAGAAACTCTAGGAACTACAAGTAAGCCTTAAGTCTGAGAGTGACGTGCTTTGTTAGGAAAATATAGAACAATAAGATCTCTAATATAAGATGGAGCTAGGTTGTTGAGAGCTTTGTAGGTTAGAAGTAAGATTTTGAATTCAATTCTGGATTTGACAGGGAGCCCATGGAGAGAAGCTAAAACTGGAGAGATATGGTCTCTCCTATTAACTCCCATTAATACATCTTAAAAAAGAAACATCTGGCAATGAAGAACAGGGGCTGTTGAACAGCTGGAACACTGCACCAGATAACAACGGGGCTACATTTATCTCTAAAAAAAAAATCAAACTGGTCTATTCAGCTCATAGGTGTTTACTGGGGGAGCTTCATGGGTATAAAATGGCCGCAGTCCAAACTTTTTTGTGTTGTGTTGATGCAAATTATACTTTTCTAAAATTAAAAAATTATTTAAAAAATATATATTTTTAAAACACTTGATGTGTTTATTATAGTTCATTGTACATTCATTACAAATTTATGAAATTTACAAATAATTGTTTTCTGTTTTTATTACATTTTAAACAATGCATGAACTTTTATCATATTGAGGTTGTACATCAGTGAGGTGCCTAACTTTCACTTTGCGTCTTTGCAGTATATTTGCCTCTTTGCAGGTCTTTTTGCATCACATTATGATTGTTTGTATCCCAACTCAACCACTTGCTTTAATGTTTTCACTGTTTAGTTGTTCTCCCATCACTGTAGCTGTTGGTCTCTGTCAAGTCAACTCTGGTCGTGTCAGAAGCAATCAATTAGACACACTAATTACTCATTGCCATGAAAAGCATTTTCTAATTCCTTTAAAACAAAGAGAAGGAGTGTGGTGACATATTATTTTCCATGTTTGCAACATGGATCATTTGCTGGTGTGTGTGGAGAAGAGTGACCTACAAATGGTGGCCCGTGGGCCTAATTTGAACCCAAATGAAGTCTTATCTGAACTTGGGTGGGCTGTTAAATTTCAGTAATATGAAATCTATTAAATTTATTGTAGGCAGGACACTGTTTCCTGCATTCATTTTAGGCAACACTGCTTTTAAGGCAATTACTGTACTGTAAAACGATTCATGTGTTGCAGCTTTTAAAGCATTTATGTTAAATCATTTTAAAGCAGAACTGTTTATTGTAGGCAGCACACATATATTTTAATTTTTAATTTTTTTTTTTGCAGTTTACGGTAATTTAATTTAGGTAGCACAGCTTGACTGACATTTACAATAATTCATTTTACACAACACATTTTTGTGATAATTCATTGTTGGCAGTGCAACTTTTCCACCTTTAAGGTATTTTGTTTTTGGTGTTGCAGCTTTTCTAGTTTTTTATATTAATTCCTGCATCTGATCCACAATATTTATCTGCTTCTTTCTGCAAGGAGAAGATGCCTGCTCACTGAGAAGAAACAACATGTTGAGTGGATAAAACTAGCGTGGCTATCACTAAAATGTAATTTAAATATATTTACTCTGGACTTTTGCTATAGATTTTTTTTTTTTAGGTGAACTCTGATAAATTTTCATTGAATACCAATTCTTTTGACTCCCTCACAAAACCATGTACGCTGGTATCAAGTGTGTACTTGAAACCTCTTTACAGTTCAGCTCAGCTGAAAGAATGAAATGGTCAACCAGAGAGAGCCTTTTAATAACACTCCAGGGGACAAAGTTAATTTAATTAACTGTTAACTGCAGATGATAAAATCTGCACACATTTCAAAAGAAATGGAATGCTGTAAACTCAAAAGCTGCACGTTAAAGCAGAACAACCATGTGACAACGGTAATTACTCAGGACAGGGCTTACAGTTAATAGCTCCTCAGGGAGGGCGTATAAAAACTGAACGAGTGTCTCAGTTTCTGTTCAAACCAACACACTGTGGCAACAACAACAAAAGCATGAAAACTAACTACAGGTTACAAAAATCAGCACCCTTCTCATCTAAAAGTGAAACTCTGAGCCAGGCACATTATGCAGATCTGTGACGGCTCTATAAATTCAAGTAACGTGCAGGCAGTACAACAAAATGATTTATGTCTCTGCATAAGCAGCTGGTCCTGCAGTAAGCATGCTCCTGGCTGTGCAGCTCTCTCAGGTGACAGTGATCACTGAACGCCTATTATATGCTGCCTGAAAGGTCAATACATCAATGCAGCCCAGAGGATCTGCGCGAACGTTTGTGCAGCGCACTCTATCAGAAAGCCAGGAAGTGGTGCGTGGGTCCATCCATGGGTGCTGAGCCCCGCGGAAAGGCCCCGAGCGAATCATTCATCTGCCTGTAAGCAACAAATAAACCTTTCATTCATCACTGTTTCCTTTTTGATTTTCAGGAGAGATCAGGAAATCTTTCTTAATCTGGAGTGACTCTCATCCGAGATGAAGCTGGTGGCTATAATGACTCATCACTTTCTACCACACACACAGCAAATTTTCCTTTGTAGGTGGTGCACTGGGGATTCAGCAGAGGAAGAAAAATCGGTCACGAAGATTTGTGTACAGTTTTTTTCAATTATGACTCCACCACCGGATATTCCAACCCCCACTCCTCATATTTGTCCTTATAACTCAGCAGAGCCTCCTCTCACAAGTAAAGAAACAAACATTGACTGGTCAAAACACCAAAGTTCATGCTCAGTAATCTAGGTATGAACAGTGTTCAGTCAGGTCATCTGGATGATTTATTTTGTTGCTGAGACGTTTCGTCCTTCATCCAAAGGACTTCATCAGTCAGAGGAGCCACCAAACAAACTGATTCCCACAAAAAGTATACTCTATAGTGGGAGAAAAAAACATTTTAGCTCCAGCAAACTGGTTTTATTCCACTATGGAGTACGCTGTTTGTGGGAATCAGTTTGTTTGGTGGCTCCTCAGGCTGATGAAGTCCTTTGGATTAAGGACAGAGTGTCTCAGCAAAAAGAAGAAACCATCCAGATGACCTGACTGAACACTGTTAAACATTTACTGTGTTTATTTGAGACTTTGCAGGGACTCACCGCTGATCTTCTCATGCTGCTCCATGACTGAGACACAGGACGGCTGGTTTTGGTTTCTACGAACTCTGAGCCCAGAGACGACGGGGGCATGTAGTGTCTCGCCCTGGACTGAACCGCCATTTGATAAGCCACCTCGAAGGCCTGTCCCAACGTTAAGATTATCTCATAGGTCTGGATCTGTGTAGAAAATATCAAATCAAATCCAATGTTCTTTGTAGGAATGCACATCGCCTGAAGTTTTGCACAACCTCCTGAAAGTTTCAAGCTCACGTGTCGTGCTCATGCTCCGAAGATGTGTCTCAGTTACTACCGCATCAAAGTTTAGCTCAGGATCTGTAAAACTGTAATAGTCATTGTTGTGTTTGCCACACACTATTTTTTGTGACTCAGCACTTTCTTTCAAAAAATATTGTTGGCTGTTAAGTTGCTGTGGTAGCCATCTTGAATTGGTGTGACTGGAGGTAATTAGCTGTAGATGTACATCCAATGATTACATTCTGAGAGTTTTGTTTAAATTTTTCCAGGAAAATCACAGTGATTTTTTTATTTATTTTTATGAAATAACAAGCAGCTGCTCAAGTTTCCTCATATTTCTCCCACTTTAACAAGCGTTTCATGACTCACCACTTCCACAGTGCTGAAGACGTGACAGAAGTGGTGGCCACTCTTGGAATCCTTGGTAATGTAAGCAAACGTGCACAGGTCATCCGGGTCCTGGGCGGCACACGAAATGTTTCTGATTTCATGTTCTGCAACTATGGTCTGTAAGGAGACAGAAGTGAACAATAAACTACAAATCATCTGCTGAAAAAAACAACAACTCTATGTTTAAATTAACTTGTTAAAGAACAAAAAGCTCAGAGACACAAACACCACGTTACCTTTGTGGCTGCATCAATAAACTTGACGCCTCTATAGGTAATGGATAAAATGACAACAGGACCCTTTTTAGAGTCCTTTGATTTCTGGAATAGAAAACAGTTTCAACAAAGAAAAAATATTATCTCATAACACATCCCAAAGGTAATATTCTACTTACAGAAATAAGACTATTGCACTGATAGGAATGTCAAATATTGCACTGACTTCAACAAATTTGAGAATTGAGTTCTGGGTTCACTGTGCAGACAGTAAGAGAGTTGGCATTTTACAAATAGGTTGATGTTTGACAGCACATTTGGGTCATATTTAATTTTCCTAGATTTAATTATAGCTGTAATCAACCAATTTATATTTGTTTCTTACAGGTCAGAAGAACAAACGTTACTCGAGAAACTGTGTAAAAGTACAGATGAAAGCTCAATGTACTTCTAAGGAAGGACTGAGATGGAGTAGAGGCAGGGCAGCCAAAACAGGACCAGATAGTCGAGGCTCAACCCCCAGTCATTTCCATATACCATGGTGTCTCTGAGCAAGACACCCACTGCTCCACCTGGTGCATCCCAGGTGCGATGGGTTAAATGCAGAGAACCAATTTTGTCATTGTATGGGAACATACAATGATGACAACATATGGCACTTATACTTACTTAATTGGTAAATGGATTGTACCTGCCATTCTATCTAGTCAAGATACTCAACGCTCTTTACACTACAATCTGTGCCTTCATTTACCCATTCATACAGCACTATAAGCTAGGGTTTCCATCCGATTGTCTGCCGATTGTATCCTGAGATTTATTACAATCCTTTGTGATAGTGACATTGCACTGCAGCTTAAATGTCATTTTAGTGAATCTCTTGCACAGCCCTGGACAATATTTAAGGTTTTCACAAGTACTCACCCTAATTTTAGCGCAGGCATCTTGTGTGGATTCAATCCCTCGTAGATCCCTGATTATCATGGACCCTAGGTACTGGAAGAAAGAATCAGGGCTCAGAATGTAAAATCATCCTTTATATTAATAAACTCTTGTTATTAGATTTAAACAATTGTAGTGATGTAGGACAGCTTTGCTGTTAGCTTCACTACTAATTAATTATTCTTAAAGCTAGTTCAAGCACAAAGAATATTAATTGTTTAATTACAACAGATTATTTCTTTTTCGAGTTAAATTTCTGCCATGTGACCGAGATAACTGTGAGGATTGTTTAATCAGTGACATGAGATGCCATTTTATCTTTGACCCATCAGAATAAATGCGGTCATTTATTTAACAGAATCAAAATTTAACATCAAGACATGTACACATTGATTTGTTGATCTGTTTCTGATTAATAAAAACTTGGCAAGCTTTACTAACAAGACAACAGAACATTACTGATTGAGGCTGATTCACCTCTGAAGGCATCTAGATTACTGGCAAATAGAAAAGTTTAAGAAAAGGAATAGATTTAAAAGGAAGATGGATGAAGGAAGATGTATGTTTGTTGACCAGAATTAGCACTCTTCTTTCAACACCAGCTCAAACCCCCGGTCCACTTAGTGCGCGACGACTCGTGACGTCTCTTAACCTTTGCAGTGGATGGATCAGCTCCAGTATAGAAGTCCCTTTGCACACTACCTTTCAGCGTCTCCTGTCAGGGTGGCTGGTCATTGTCTGAAGTCGTGTGGTTTACTCCGTTCAACAGAACAAGCTTCCTTCGAAGTTGTAGGGCGTTACACCCAGGTGAATTCACAGCGAGGCGCTGTGACTCCGCTGGGATGGACGGACCCTCGTCTCATGGTCAAATCCATCAGCTATTGATTAAATCTGAAAGTTCCTTAGGAACTCTCAGTAAGACTCCAGTCAGATATTCCACTCAGAAGTGGAAGACTCCTGGGAAGACTTCATAGAGGAAGACTGAATGAAGACTCCAAGAAGACTCAAGGAAGACTGCTGGGAAGACTCAATAGTCCCAGGAAGTGTTGACTTTTTAAAGAGTACTCACTTCCTGTCACTTGGTACTTCCTGATTGGTTGAAACAACCAGCAGGGGCGGTGTTTCAGTGATGTCAGAGTGTTATTAGGAGTCAAAAAGACAGCAGGAATGTTTACGAACGGTTAGTACAGACAGAGGAATGTTATGGCGAAGTGAGACAAACGCAGATGCCAGTTGAAGTTATTTATTGTCTGCTGAGTTTTAAAACAAGGCCCTTCGTTCTCATAACTTGCTTTCTGACTTCTGACCGACATCCCTGACTTCTGACCGACATCAAATCCACTCATTCAGACAGAAGATCAAAATGCACAATTACTTTGTAAATAGACATTTAACTTGATCTCTAAGTCTAATGAGGTTTAAAAATCATTAATACTGTTTCACAGTTGATTTAAATGAGTGGTTCACTTCAACATTTAGAAATGGTATGAACTAAACACACTTTGATTATCAAGATATTCTAAAATAGTAATGATAATGTAAAAAGGAAGAGTGTTCTTTCAATTGATTAATTCAGGATACAATTAAATAGTTTCTTGATGAGATCATTTGTATTTCTGGATTCAGATCAATGAAATAACAGTTCCTGTCCCCTGAAGGTCTTCAGAGACAGGTTGAGGTCGGAGGCCTAGTTCACTACACAATCTCAACTAATTTTACACAGAAGAAATTATGTTCCAGCTTGTGTGCAGAAAACAATAAAAGATACTTACTGTTGCCTCGTACCTGCAGGAGTCCAGGATGAGTTTTTCAGGCTGGTGGTGCCAGGCGGACACGGTGGCGTACGTGGCAGAGTGGCTCGGCGGCCGGAGGTGTAAACGGGACTCTTTGTGTCGTTCACTGTGCCTGTCCTGCAGAAACGCAAAACCAGAACCATTTTTAACATGTCTACAGATGTAGAAAAGTTTGTTGGTACCTTTACAACTCAGAAAGAACGTCATGGAAATTCATGTACGGCTATAAAAACATATTTAAGCAGCTTTATGTTTCTTTGACCACAGCTGCCAGTTGAAATGAAAAATTAGCTATGTGGGACTGTAGCCAGCCTCCCATGATGTGGACGCAAGAGAAAATGCAACCCACGTTGATCAGTCCGTGTGGATGATAGAAAAAAAACAAGCAAACCATTCGTAACTATCTAAGCTGAAATCTAAGATCAATGCACGTCACTTTGTGATCACACCATCCACCAGACTGAGTCATAACGGACTCTGTGGATGAACGCTCAAGATAGTTTGACTACATATACAAAAAAAGACAGACAGGAATTTGCCTAAATGCATGACGGCAAGCTCCAAAGTTTCTGCGCTGATGACTAGTTACATCAGCTGAGTTTTATTATTATTAATATTATTGTTGTGGGAAGGGTACCAATATATTTATTCACATCAGTGCATTGCAACTTTTTCAAGTATTAAAAAAAAGTGATAAGAAGCTTTGGGTAAAATATTTGAAGCAGATTTGCAGCCTGTTTGACTCCAGATACGAATGTGTGTGTCTCTGTTGAACTGGTGAGGTAAAAGATGTCTAACTGCTGTATATTAGTGTGAAAGCACTGGAAGTCTGCCTGGTCAGCACTTTATACTAATTTGTTTTTGATATGCTAGTGGGTTCATAAATATTCATGCCAGTGGTGCCTTTAGGTCAGTGCAGGATGTGCTCAGCTCTTCCATAAATCACTTGTCAGAGTAAAATGTACTTATGATAATAACACACTAAGGCTGTGGGAAATTTATTGATTTGCCATGTCACCCTCGCTGAACAGTCAGTCTTCTTTTTTTTTTTTAGATTACCCACTGCCAAAAGCGAAAGGCAGATAATATCTTTGAATGTCTGTGTGTGTTTTGTCAGCAGTGTTAGCAAAATATCTCTTGAACCTGTGGACAATTTTAATGGAACTCTCAGAAAGTAATGATTAAATGTAACTTTTGAAGTTAATTTAAATCAAGATGGCTGCCACAACTGAGCAACCTTTAGAAACACAAAAATGGACATAATTCAGTCATTTTTACACATGTTGAGCTAAAATTTAGTGTGGTAGTAGCAGAGAGTCATTCTTAAACATCTTGCGAAACTGTGCTTTTACAAGGTTGGACCAAAACTGCTACAACTCCATCAATTCTCAGAGTAAGATGATTTTAGTCTAATGGCCAGAAATGAAAGGCTGCGGGCGATGCTGTTAGGGAATTTTGGATGTGGTTTTATGGATGTTTTTAACTACTTCTCTGAGAGTGTTAACTGCCCATGAACCATGTGTTTGTGTTAGCAGAGAGAGCTGGATGTGGAGCTGATTTGATACTGCAGGCGCAGCTGGCAGTCCAAGGACACCAGTCTGTCTGTGAGCTGGGAGAGCTGATAAGCATATAAAAACAAGCCTCGCACACCATCCGTGATAGATTCTCGTGACTGAGCTCCATGCGTGTATACTTCTGTACATCTGTTTAAACTGTTGTGAAAATCTGTCCTTGCAAGTAAAATCTGTTAAAAAAATCTCATGTCCTCAAGTGTGGCTTCTTTGAGTAAGTAAGATGAAGAGAGGATATTTTTATCCAACAGATATGCATTCCTTCAAAGAATGCAAGGCCTTTAATTTTGTCGAAGTTCTTCATTTTCCTTTTTGGCCTCAGTGAGGCACAAACCAGAAATGGCAGCTTGACCATTTCAGTCTCTCTTTGACCTTTTACAGAATTATTCTTGGTTCGTTGAAACACAAAACAGCCCAAGAAATTCATGGCAGTCAATGAAGATTTAAAACAGCTGCAGGGAATGATTATAATTAAACAGAGCTATGTTTTGACTTTAAGTGACGTTAAACTCATCCAAATGAATGATTCTAATCACATTTATTAAAATGAAGTCATACATACTTTGAATTGGTCATTCCCTGTTTCAGTAGGACTTTCTGACTAATGTGATGCAAACCTTTGAAACAGTTCATTGCACTAAAAGTTTGTTTATTTCATCTGATGTATTTTCATGTTCTGACATAATGAAATTTGAATGAATTCATCCAAATCCACCAGCCCTAAGGAACAATTGACTGAGCTTAGCCTGGTAAACCTAAGAATATCTTTAATACATTATGAGTCACAGTTTTTCTATGGAAGGGTGAATGGCAAGATTTTAAGACACTACTTCCTCACAGCAACTAGTTCGTACATAACAAAGACTTCTTATGGAAATTTCATTAAATGCATGCAGATAATTGGGCAACATATTACACAAAAGTGCTTCTGTTTGACAAACCCGATGAATCAAAGCTTTTCGTGGGAAAGAAAGATGAAAAATCAACGTTCTTTGGGCAAAACTAAACACTCCTCTAATTTACCCACAGCTTATGGTAAAATTCAACTCCGGTTGAGTGACTCTGCCCACTAATTATACCAATGTTCAGCTGTGCATGAACACAACAGCCCTATCTCTGAGAAGAACAGCCAATGTGAAGCATCCTTCTTTATTAATTTGTCTTTAATTCACAGAAAATGAAGCACAGTGGATGATTTCCTTTACAACTCTGAGTGTAAGAAGGTTAAACTTACTACGGAGCGCGGCCTCTCACTATAAGATCTCAAAGAAACGCTGCAGTCCTGGTCGAGTCCCCTCCGCCTCCGGTCCGACTCGGTCAGGGGCAGCAGCATGTCCATGGAGCGACTGGTGTAGGGGTCCAGCTGACTGAGGGGTGATGTGGTCTGGGACAGGAGGTCGTGGAACTGTCACACACATACGTACAAACGCACACAAAAATTGGATTAATGGTTTGGCAGCACTGCCTCTTCCACAGAGAACGTAAGCTCTATTTTAGCTGTTTAATCTGCCCGTGAAATCAGCTTTGTGTTTACCCTGAGAAACAGTGTGAATGATGCGCGCTGGAAGAACGCTGAAATCTGCTGGAAAAAAAGCTTAAAATGAGTTGTTAAAGTTAAAGCAATTGGGGTATAAAATAAAATTAGCCAAACAGTTTATGTAAATTTAGTAAAATAGTAGCGAAAAGTAAAAATAAACAAAGCAAAAGCTAAAAGCTAACATTTGCACAACAGTAGCTAAATGCTATCGTTAACAATAGATTGTTTTTCTTTCGGCTAATCCTTTCTTCAGGGGTCGCCACAGCGAACTAAGTCGCATGAAGACTTGGCAATTGTTTTCTTTTTTT